AGCAAGGTTGAGGAAAAACATTCTGTGCCCCACCCCCAATCTGTCATCTCCAAACCACTTCCTGAGCCTGCGCGTCCTTTGCCCTTTCCATCCAGGCAAGATCTGGGCATAGAGATGAACAGAACGCACAGGAGAGTCTGGGCCACCTGGCATGCCCAGGACTCCACCAGTTCCCTGACAGGGTCCCTCACTGGAGGCTCTCAGTGGGTCAGAGCCACAAGGAAAGTGAAGGTGCAGAACCATCTACTAGAACTTGGGGAAGGGGGCGCCAAGAATACCCCGATCAGGAGAAACCCAACTGACAAGGCTCATTTCTGGGAAGCACGTCCCCTCCCTTGAGCCCTCAGCTTTGTGGGGCTGGGGCAAGTGGAGGAGGTGGTGCCAGAGCTGGGCGTTCATCCCTGGCTCACAGCTGGAGGAACATCTGTCCAGAATGGAGCCGCTTACTAAGAGCTTTCATAGAAACAATCTCATTTCATCTCCCAAGCAACCCTGGGAAAGAAGTTAAGGATGAAGGGAGAGGGGTTTGTTGCCATTATGCAGATGGGTATCTCAAAGCTGTTTCTGCATTCTGTTGAAGCATCACAGACTTGGGAAAGCAGGTGCTATAGTTTGAATGGGTGACCCCAAAGTCTAAGTGTGGAAGGCTTGGTTATCAGGCTGTGGTTGGGACTGTGGTTCTCAACCCCTTGCAAGGGGGGGGGGTGATTTCTAATTACCCTTTTACAGTGGTCGAATATTAGATACCCCGCGTTTCAAATATTTACATTTTAACTCATAAAAGTAGCAAGATTAGTTATGAAATAGCAATGAAAATAATTTTTTGGTGGGGGGAGGATCACCATAACATGAGGAAATGTATCAAAGGGTCAAAACATTAAGAAGATTGCAATCCATTGTGTTAGGAGACGGTGGAACTCTGTGGGTGCTGGAGAGCTGAATTTAGGTTCTTGTGCCTGTGAGCAGGACTTCACCAACTGAGAAATTTCCACTGGAACCTAGTAGGCAGAAGTTAGGTTGTTGGGTGTATGCTCTGAAAACAACATAAAGACAATCAGTCTCTTTCTCCGCTGTGAAATGAGCAGTTTCCTCCATACATGACCCAAACATGATGTGTTGCCTCAACATAGGCCACTGAGACCATGGACTGAAACCTCTGAGATCCTGAGCCAAATGAAACCCTTTCTCCTCCTAAGTTAGTTGATTTCAGGGATTTATAGTCAAGAAAGATTACCCGACACAGAAGACCCTTTTGTGGCCATGTGGGCCATCCCTCCTTACAGAGTTCCAGGTGACTGCCTGAAGACACAGTCCTTTGGTTCTCCAAGCCCCAACTTTGGTCTGGCTCTGGGAGCACCCCAGAAGCACATCCTTGACAGTTCAATGGTCCAGGCAGCTTCCTATGTTCATCCCCAACCTCCAGACCGTGTCTGTCCACACCTGCTTCTTGGGCAACTTAAAGACATAAACAGCTTTTGTTTGTGTAAAATTCACACTTAAACAATGAATGTTCTGTGGATTTTAATGTATTCAGCACTGAGCAACTCTCACCACTGCTCATGTCCAGAGTATTGTCATTAGGCCCCAAAGAAACCCTGTGCCCGTTAGCAGTGACTCCTCATCACCAGGTCACCAAGGAGTTGCTTCTCTGGCGAGTCATATGAATGGACTTATACAGCATTTATCTTCGTCTTTCTGGCTCCTTTCGCTTTGAGTAGCATTTTCCAAAATTCATCCATGTTTGAGTATGTGTCAATACTTTATAACTTGTTTTGTTTTGTCTTTTGAGACAGTGTTCTCTGTGTAGCCCTGGCTGTCCTGGAACTTGCTCTGCAGACCAGGATGGCCTTGAACTCATATCGATCCACCTGCCTCTGCCTCCCTGAGTGCTGGGATTAACACACACACACACACACACACACACACACACACACACACACAGGAATAGACAGAGATTTTTAACTGGGGCATCAGGGCTCACACCTGTAATCTCGGCACTGACGAGTCCAAAGCAGGAGGGCTGCCTTAAGTTTGAGGCTAATCTGGGCTACATAGTGAGTTCTAGGCAAGCTTAGGCTACAGAGTGAGACCATGCTCCTCTCACTGACCCATCTCCCCACTGATGAAGGGGCTGCTCCCACCAGATGGAAGGTTCTAGAAGTAAGGCTAATCTCTTGCACTCTGCCAACCCCATCCTCTCACCTCCTGTGACCCTTCTCTTGCCTCCTGAGGGCCTCTGATCTATAGATTGACAACCCTGGACATCAGGGCCGGGACCTCAGTTCACCGAAGTCCCTGGGAGTTAACTGGGGACACCAAGATGAACTCTCTGAGGACAGCTCCAGGAATGCAAGCCAGGAGGGGCTTCTAGCCAGGAGACAAAGCCTTTGTCCCCATGGGAAACTTTTTTGTTTTTGTTTTCTGAGACAGGGTTTCTCTGTGTAGCCTTGGCTATCCTGGACTCACTTTGTAGACCAGGCTGGCCTCCAACTCACAGCGATCCACCTGCCTCTGCCTCCCTGAGTGCTGGCATTACAGGTGTGCCACACCATGCCTGGCTCTCCTCGGAAACTTTTGCCTACTGACTTTTGACTAATTACTTCCCTAGCCTCCTTGGTCTGTACTTTGAGACACATGTTTCTCGTCACTACCTACTTTCCTACAGGCAAATACAAAGTTAGGATCTTTTTCTTTCTTTCTTTTTTCCAGAGAAATCACTGAACTCACTGAGTGGTACATGCCTACAATCCCAACTACCTGACAAAAGGAAAGGAGAAAAAAAAGAAAAAAGAAAAGAAAAGAAAAGAGAAGAGAAGAAAAGAAAAGGAAAAAAAGAAATGGAAAGTCAGATTAGCTAATTAAACTGGGCGCGTTGGCCAGGGAGGCAGAGGCAGGCAGATCTCTATGAGTTTGAGGCCAGCCTGGTCTACAGAGTGAGTCCAGGACAGCCAAGGCTACACGGAGAAACCCTGTCTTAAAAACAAAACAAAACAAAACAAAACAAAAACAAAAACAAAAAAGTCAGATTAACTAACTAGACTAGCCAAACTGGAGCCGAGCCATCAGGGATCTTGCAATTAGGGCCCGTTAAAGGTAAAGTACTTTCCCAGGGGGACCCAGCCCTGTTGGCCTCTTCTAAGATCTTGCAGAGAATATGCTTTCTAGGGAATGTTTTCTAGGGATGTCCCCGCCTGGTGCAGAGAGGCTGAAGAAAGCCACATGTTGAGTCTGTGAACAATATAACAAAGAGCCCTTCCCACCTTGTCTGCCTAGTCAGGGTTCATGCACCTCTGCCTGTCCAGACCTCAGAGCTTCCTTCAGGCCGTGTTCAGAGGGCTCCCCCCTGGTGGAGGCCGCCTGCTCCCGGTCACTTTATCGGTCACCTTATTGTGTCTCCAGGATAAAGCTTCCCTCCAACAGCTTGTTGCACAATCCTGTCACCAGCTCCCAGACTCAGCGGGTTCTGAGCCGACAGTCAACAAACACCACCCTCTGATGCCCCCATCTCTTGCTGTCCATACTGATGCCCTCCCCTATCTCCCGAGGGCTCCGCCCAGTGCTGCCTGAGGACTCCAGCACCCACCCAGACACTGCCCATCACCTCGCCCAGGACTAGAGGACATCAGCAGTGCACAGGGTGGTGTACAGAGCCTTCCTCTCACCGACCTGGGCGGGTGTTCCCAAGCACAAACAGACCGTTTGGTGGCCCTTGTCTGAGTCAGGTGCACCTGAGGCTGGTGTCCTCAGGGCAGGTGGGGTCTGTTATGTGGTCCTGGCTGAAGGCCTGGGACTAGATTCCACCTGGGGCTGGTCTAAAACTCACTATGGAGCCAAGAATTTGGTTCTTCTACATCCTCTCCCGGGTGGGTACTTCAGAGGTACTCGACACTATGCTCAGTGTATTCAGTACTGGGATTTGAACCCAGGGTCTTTCTGCATGTCAGACAAGCCCTCTACCAAGGGAGCTAAAGGCCCAGTCTCTCTCTTTCTTTTACCTCCTCCCCTGGCCTTGATGTTTGCAAGCTAGTCACTGAATGGATGATAGAGTCGGCAGCTCAGATGGCAGCCACGCCATGGGATCTGGTTCCCTGGGACACAGGCCGGTGCAGAGGGCAGGTGAATAAATGATGAGGGGCCTGCAGCAGGCCAGCAGGCCACAGCTGACCTCATTCTAAAAGTGAAGAATAAGCAGCTGTGCGGTGAGTGTCTGTGGCAAGGGGGCAGAGGGCTGTGTGGCACCTTTATCTTTATGTTCCTTGAGAGGAGCTTGCAGGTCAGAGGAGAGGTCCACACAGGAGGTGGGGAGGCAAAGGTGGGAAAGAGAGGTGTCTTAGGGCTCCAGGTGAGGGAGGGAGAAGCAGGTGGCATACGTTTCTAGAATCTTGGAGCCATCCTGGGAAAGGGAAGGATAGAAGAGTAGGAAGGACAGACAGATAGAGCAAGGTGAGAAAGAGCCTGTGGGTAACCGTGAAAGAGCAGAGACAGACAGGCAGACAGACAGACAGGGTCTGAGGGGAACGGAGAGAGAGAGAGTAAGGCATAGAGAGAAACTGAGGGGAACCAGAGAGAGACAAAGAAGGCCTGAGGGTCATGGGAACTGTGCTAGACTAAGACAGAGATAGTAGCAAAGGCCAAGGCAGACGGAGAGTGATCAGGATATAAAACAAGAACATGCTAGGGCAACCAACCAGAGCTGTGCAGGCAGGACATGGGGAGCGAAGGAGGCCAGTCAGCTTGGGAGCCTGGCCACCTGGGCCATCAAGGAGCCCCAGGGTGTAGTCTGTGGTCCTATGAAGTCTGAAAGGTGGTCTAGGAGGAAGGTGAAGATTTCAAAGATGGACTGTGGGAGAGGCAATGGAAGAAGGGAGTGACCTTAGGGGAGTAAGGCTCTCCTAACCCCCCAGAGCCAGAAGGGAAATGTATCCACAGCTCCCACTGAGCCATCTACCTACAGGTTGAGGAGACCCAGCCAGAAGAGAGAAAGTACCCCATCGGTGTCCATGGCCCTGCCCGAGGGCCCAGCAGATGGCAGCCTCCCTGAAGGGGACTCCAGCCCATCCGCAGGCACTCCAGGACCCAGCCAGGACCTAGCCAGCCCCATTGCCCGCAGGCGGGCCCTCCTCCGTGAGCTGGAGGCCCAGGTGCAGGCTGCCTACGGGCAGGTAAGACTGTCCTTTCCTAAGGGACTCCATGTCCCAGCTGGATGTGAAACTGACCCAGGAACAAGTCCATACACAGGTGACCAGAGTGGTCAGGAGAAATGAAGGGACCCATCTGCCAGCTCTGTTGCTACAGTGCCGAGGGCTGTCCCTTTATGTAAGAGGTCAAGCCAGTACTAAACGGAGACAGGGTCCTGGCATCGATGGACAGGACTTCAGACTGGACCAAGGGGAAAGCAGGCAGGCTCTCTCCGAGGACTTCATCCTCCAGTCCCAGGTTGCCACTCTGGGAGAGTTGGAATCCAGCTGGTACTGGTTCCGGGTGCCTGCTTCCTCCCTAGGGATCCAGGCCTGCATCCCCATCCAGGTACTGACTGGGGGAAGTTAGTGCAAGGCTGAGAGAAGGGTTATCGAGGGTGTTCAGAAGATCTTCCTCAGGAAGATCTGGGAGGCTGTGGCTTCCAGGGGGCCTTGACTCTGAGTAATGCCCCCCCCCCAGATACTCAAAGATAATCCCGGATTGGATTAGGGCCCAAACCCCGGGCCCAGGGCCACCCGCCTGCCCACCCGCCCCTCATCTTGCCCACAAAACCCCATGAAAATCCTCTCCAGCACTCCCAGGCTGTCCCTGGAAACAGCAGGAGCCTGGCAGAATCCACGGTGTCCTCTCAGGACTCGGGGCCTGGCATGGTTCAGAGACCCATGGGAAACTGTGCCAAGCGGCCATGGCGCCGGGGGCCTAAGGTAGGAAGGCGGAGGGGAGACAGAAGGACAGAAGCCTGGGTAGCCCCATGCATTGGTCAGGTAGTAGCCAGAGACCTGGGGGGGTGGTTACTGGGCTGCGTTAGAGGTGGGGTCCAGAGGAGAGGAGGGGACATTTGTATGCTCCTCTTGAAGAAGATATTTTCCCAGACTTCTTCCAGTCTTGGCTAGGTCTCCCCTGCTAGGTTGATAGGCCAGCTGCCCATTCTGTGTAGGCCCTACTCTCTCAGCCTTGGCTGTGGGGACCAGAGGTAGAGAGGCCAGGTCTTGCTCTGCCTCAGGCTTCCTCAGTGACCTGGCCAAGACCCTCTTCTCTTCTGGACTTTAGTTTACCCAACTGAGCAATTGAGGGTGAACTCTTCCAGCCTAGAGTGTCAATGGTTCTTGTAGCTAGAGGCCCCTCCCCCTCTGTCAGGTGCTGGGCTCCAGAGAAAGCAGCAGCTGATGAGGACTGGAGTGGGGCTGAGGGAGACCGGGCTGCAGGTATTGCTTCGGCTCATGGCTGACTTTGCCACAGGAACGCTGGCAGTGGCCTGGATCCCCCCTAAGGGGCTCCCGCCCCAGCCCTGACCCCAGAGCTGAGGAGCAGGAGGGCATGCAGGGCTACTCAGTGCTCGGGAGCCTGGTGGGGCCAGCATGCATCTTCCTCCGACCCAGCATCGCCGCCACCCAGCTCGTATGTACGGTCACCCTCTGCCAGCCTGCTGCCGTGGTCCCTTAGTCTCATCACTTCCGAGTAGAAGGGAAGGCTAGAGAGGACGTTAGAGGAAAGACGAGAGGCCCAGGGGTGGGGCAGGGATGCGGAGGGGAGCCCCCAGGGCCATACCAGGCATAGGGATTGGGTGGGGACCCTAGAAACAGCCGCCAGAGATTTGTGGGTGTAGCCCAGTGTCGGAGCACTGCTTACAGCAAGCTGGGTCACATCCCCAGCACTATAAAATCAGAATAGGAAGTGCTTCCAAGGAGAAGCGGGCTAGAGAGATGGGAGGGTCCTCAGGATGGGGGGGGGGCAGAGGCCGGTGGCAGACCTGCAGTGACACCGAGGCCAGGTGGGTTGAGGTTCTGTCTGACTCTGGGATCTACCTCTGTCAGAAGGAGCTATGTACCTCCGAAGTGTGGGGACAGGGGTCCTGGGGTCCCCAAGACACCCAGAAAGGTGGACAGGTTTGGGAAGAATAAGGCACAAGCCTTGGGTGTGCTGTGGGGGTGTCTGGATGACAAACCACAAGAAACGGAAGGAAGGTGCTGAGGCCTGGCTGAGCCAGAGAACCCCTAACCCATGTGTACTCTACAGGACCGGGAGCTGAGACCAGAGGAGATCGAAGGTAAAGGGTTCGGGGGTTGGGGGAGCTTGATGAGGAGGCATTCGGGATAGAGATTAGAAGCTGGGGCCTCTTCAGGGCTGAAGAGGAGCAAGAAGGCCATGGGGAGGAGACTGGGTAGGGGGAGGTGGAAGCCCTCCCTTCTGTTGCCAGCTCCTCGGTCTCAGTGACCGCACTGGTCAAGGGCTTCTTTCATATCTGTCCACCTGGCTGACACTTCCTGGCTGCCCATTGCGGGCCTGGCCCCTCGTTGAGCACCAGGAAACCCTGCTAACCGGATAGATAAGGTCCCCACCCTCTGGAGCTAGCTATGGCTGCAGCTATGTAGAGCACTCTTAAAGAGACCAACAAACTGGCTGTGAGGGAGAAACGAGCAGGGAAGTCTTCCTGGAGTAGGTGATACCGAACCAGAGGAGAAAGGAATGCAGCCCCCCTGAGGTCGTAGCTTTTCTGTCTCCGGCCCCCTCCCTCCTTCCCTTCCTCTCTTCCTTCTCTTTTTAATCACCTAGAAGAGAGAGTGACACACGCTAGATGCTAGGTAAGCATTTGACAAGTGAACACAGTTTTAATGCCACCTGTGCAAAGGCCCTGACGTAACAAATAGGAACTGAGGTTTAACAGCAAGAAGGGACTAGAGCAAAGGGAATAGATGGGCTGGTCCCAGCTGGCAGCCCAGGGAGGGTTCTGGGAAAGGACTAACCTCACCCTGCCCGGCAGAGCTGCAGGTCGCCTTCCAGGAGTTTGACCGAGACCGGGATGGCTACATTGGCTACCGGGAGCTGGGGGCCTGCATGCGGACGCTGGGCTACATGCCCACGGAGATGGAGCTCATTGAGATATCACAACAAATCAGTATGTGCTTCAGACCCGGCCCAGCCGTCGGCACACAGGGAGGACAGCCCCATCTAAGGCCGCGAAGGAGGGGACCAGGGACCAAAGGGAAGGCAGTGGGTTCGGGAAGGTAGGCCAGGTGCTAAGCCGGGGTCTGATGGAGGACGTGCCCCCAGGTGGTGGGAAGGTGGATTTTGAAGATTTTGTGGAGCTGATGGGCCCCAAGCTGCTGGCAGAGACGGCAGACATGATCGGCGTGAGGGAGCTTCGAGATGCCTTCCGGGAGGTGCGTCTCGCACCTGGAAGGGGTGGAGGGTGGGTGAGACTGTGGGGCCGCAGAGAGTGAGTGGCTGAGTGGGGCTAGGACCCCGTCAGTGACGCCATGCCGCCGTCAATGCTGCCGCAGTTTGACACCAACGGCGACGGCCGCATCAGCGTAGCGGAGCTCCGCGCAGCCCTCAAGGCTCTGCTGGGGGAACGCCTCAGCCAGAGGGAGGTAGATGAGATACTCCAAGACGTTGACCTCAACGGAGATGGCCTGGTTGACTTTGAAGGTAACACCTCCCCTGCTTAGCCACGTGTGCCCTGAAAGAGTCTGAACCAGGGGTACCCAATCGTGACCCCCTGAGGTTAAATATCAGATATTTACGTGACGATTCATAACAGTGGCAAAAATTACAGTCATGAAGTAGCAACAAAATAATTTCATACTTGGGGGAGGGGGAGGCTCACCACAACACGAAGAACTGTATGAAAGGGTCGCAGCCTTAGGAAGGTTGAGAACCACCATTTCTGAACAGTTCTACTCCCTGCTGGTGAGAACTTCCTACAGTTCTCAGGAAAGCTAAAGTGCTGACTTGGGAGAAGGAAATAGGGAGAGCCAAGACTGAGGCAACTCTAGGCAACTGAGGCCCCTCCCACCTGATACACAGAGATGCCCTTCATGGTCTCCTCAAGCATACCCTAGTCCACCCCCAGCAGGCAGATCTGCCTTATCCCTAATGGGGTTAGGAGGGCAGAGCTAAAACCTCGCTTTTGTCCTGGCAGAATTTGTTCGGATGATGTCTCGATGAGCCTGGGTAGAAGCCAGAGTGGACCAGCCTGGAGGATCACAGCCTCCGAATTGCAGAGGATCCCATATGCTCGTTGAAGCTCATTGTGTACAGGACTGTGAACCTCCTCCCCATCCCTGCCTGGCACAGTGCCCTCTTCCCTTACCACCCTGGACCTCTCCCTGGTTTTCTGGCAATAAAGCATCTTCTTGTGGGGAAAGAGTTTTCCCCTACTCGCTAATCCTGGAGGCCTGGCATCTGACCCCAAAAGTTAAGTCCTGGAACGGGGCTAACTACAAGTAACTTCAATTGTGAGCTCCGGGAGCCTGGGGATCCCCCTCTTTTACCTTTCTGGATTCTGGGCCCAGCCCAAAGCAAGTGCCAAAAGATAGCTCTGAGCTGGGCATGGTGACACACACCTTTAATCTCAGCACTCAGGAGGCAGAGGCAGGCAGATCATTGTGAGTTCAAGACCAGACTGGTCTACAGATTGAGTTCTAAGACAGCCAGAACTATACACAGAAAAACTCTGTCTCAAAAGGAAAAACAAAACAACAACAACAACAAAACATCTTTAAACTGGTAAAACACACACACACACACACACACACACACACACATCAGGGCTTCTGGAATTCTTTGCTTGAAGTTCCCAGCCCTTCTCTCAGCTCTGTCATACATATTCCTGCCACAGCCAGGGAGGGGTGCCACTCAGGGTTCAGCCTTCCGAATCCAGAAGGGAGATAGCTGGCAGAAGGGCCCAGGAAGCACATCGGTCTGAAGGCTGGGACTTTTTTCCTCAGAGAGCCCCGAGTACTTCCTGAGTACAGGGGGCAGGAAACAGGACTGGCCAGCCCTGCCCATTTCAAGGCCCCTCTAATGGACAATATGTGTTGGTGAGCCTTATAGGTCTGCATACAGCAGAGGACCTGCCTGTCAGGAATCAGGGCCTCCTTTCCTAACCAGCTGCCTGGTTCTTCACTAGTATCCCTAACCTAAACCTCCACTGTACTAGAGACTCACATTTCTACACATGCTCTAACCCCGGCATTCAGAAGGCCAAGGCAGGAAGATCAAGAGTTTAAGGCTAGCCTCAGCTATATAGTGAAACCCCGACTCAGAAAGGGAGAGGAAGGGCAGCCAGTGTGGTCTTGCCCAGACAGGGAGCTCCAGGTTCGGCGAGAGGCCTGGTCTCAAAAAGTAAGAAGGAGCTGGGTATTGTTGTGCACACCTTTTATCTCAGCACTCAGGAGACAGAGGCAGAAAAATCTCTGTGACTTTGAGGCCAGCCTGGTCCACCTAGCAAGTTCTAAAAATAATGAGGAGGAGGAAAGTGATTGGGGGAAGACATCAGCTGCCAATCTCTGACTCACACACAAAATGGTTAGGAGTTGGGGCCACATTGGCCCTCCCAAGGCAGTCTCAGGTAGAGCAAGCAGGAAGCCCCCAGTGCCCTGAGCGGCAGCCTGGAAGCTGGACTCTGAGGTGTCAGCGCTGGCTTCAGCAGCCTCAACATCACCCAGCCTACGGATCCCAATTAATCCTTAATCCTCAATTAAGTGATCTGTACTGCCAAGCCTCCAGCCTCCAGCTCTGCGTTGCCTGAGCCCCATGGCTTTTCGAGAAGCTGGCACAGATGGCATTATCCATGAGAAGATATCTCTGCAAAAGCTGGGGGTGGCAACCACCACAGTTGAGGGAAAAGCAAGTGTTAAGGTCTTCTTGCCAAAGTCTGCTGCCAACATCTCTCTCTGCTTTGGCAGGTTTCCAGGGTTCAGGATCTGAGATCTGGGATGGGCTGTGGAGTCCCTGTTGGCTTTATCTCTTGGGTCGTCTAGCTGATAGCAACCCAAGATGGATCAAGAAGGATAATTGAAAGAAGAAAGGGGGGAGGGAGTCCAAGTTTCCTTCTTGAGGGCTAAGTACCGGCTACGCTGCTGCTAAGGAGGAAAACTTAAACTGACCATTTTTTTCTCTGACTAGAGTTGTAAAAGGTGGCTTCTAGCCAAAACTGCAAGGTGTTGTAAAATTGGTCTCTTTGATCTGAGATTCGCTCCTGCGCAGGCCGCCTCCACAGGCTAAAGTAAACTTCAGGCTGTTTATCTGATAAGGCTGATAGTTAGGTCCTGAATCTACTCACTTACTTGTGAATCAATAGGAAAAGGAAGAGAGGAGAGAAAGTAAGCTATGAGCACTCATGCACACATGCTCAAGGGAAAAGGGTGGAGGAAGTTTAAAACTTTTTTTAATTTTAATTTTTTGTATTAATTACAGTTTATTCACTTTGTATCCCAGCTGTAGCCCCCTCCCTCATTCCCTCCCAATCCCACCCTCTCTCCCTCATCTCCTTCCATGCTCTTTTCCAAGTCCACTGATAGGGGAGGTCCTCCTTCCCTTCCATCTGACCTTAGCCTATCAGGTCTCATCCATCGGGAATGGCAGCATTGTCCTCCTCTGTGGCCTGGTAAGGCTGCTCCCCCATCAGGGGGAGTTGATCAAAGAGCCAGCCACTGAGCTCACTGAGATAGTCCCTGTTCCACTTTCTCAGGAACCCACTTGGATACTGAGCTGCCATGGACTACATCTGTGCAGGGGTGCTAGGTTATCTCCACGCATGGTCCTTGGTTGGAGTATCAGTCTCAGAAAAGACCCCAACTTTAACTTCAACTTCAATGAATTTCCACAAACTTACATATGAAATGATGTTGATTATCGCCAGCATCTCCTCTGCAGAAACTTCAGCAAGTTTAGGCTGCTGGTTCCATAGTATCAGCCCATATGTATATACACATAAACAAACAATCAGACACTTAGACCTGTACATATTCATACACACATTCAATGGGCAATACAAAAGGAGCTCCTTACATACAGACAGCTGACATACACTCATGTAACATGTACAAAAAACAAACAGATGGACATATTTACATGTAAACACATATCTAAACACATATTTACAACTCATGGATGAAGCAAATTCCAGCAGGCTTCCATTCTTGTGGGCTTTCATTAATGTTTATTGTCTGGTCTCAGCTTTATACTTCTGAGACAAAGGAATTACCTCATAGTCAAAAAGGTAATTAATCACGAAAGCAGATGAATTCTGAAATGAAACTGGTTGCATGTTTTAAAACTAAACATTTCTTATCTACTTATCCATTACATAAGTTCATAGTGAGTTCAGACTGACAAAGGTTGACAAGGCCTAAAGCTTAACAGGATCTAAAAGTTCTAAGAATATATGTCTTTTCAATTAGAATTGACCTGGCTACACATTTTCCAGCTATCTCTAAGTTTATAGTGAGTTCAGGAAAATAATTTTATCTGTCTTTCATTCTAAGAAACAAGGTAAATTTAAAATGATAATATACAATGTCATTGAACTCAATGGCTGGCTCTTTGACCTAACCCCCTCCCCAAGGGAGGGAGCAGCCCTGCTAGACCACAGAGGAGGACTTTGCAGCCAGTCCTAAAGATACCTGATAAACTAGGGTCAGATGAAAGGGGAGGAGGTCCTCCCCTATCAGTGGACTTGGGAAGGGGCAGGGAGGAGATAAGGGAGGGAGGTTGGGATGGGGAGCTGGATACAGCTGGGATACAAGGTTAATAAACTGTAACTAACATTAAAAAATTAAAATTTAATAAGAATATATGTGTCATAAGGTGACAAGGTATAAGAAATTATAACAAAGCAATTTATATTTAATGATATCAAGATTTAGAGATTTATTAATTTAATTTAGACATTTATTGGTAGCCCCATCATCTTTTGGGTTCATGAGAAGTTTAAACCAACTAGCCTATATTTATGGCATATACCAGGATTCATGGTGTCATCTGGAGTAAAGGCTATCTGAGGCTACAAATCTCCCTTAAGCCTGTCTCCTAGTGAGGCATCTGGATGTCCACCAAGTTATTTATTGCAGCTGTAAACTTTCTAAAATTGTTTAAGAAGTTCTAAAGCAGTTTGACATTCGAAATTGTTTGAATCAAATCAGGAATTCCATAATCAGGAGTGAATTCATTTGAACAGCAGCACATCTTCCATAAGACGCCACGGGGAGTTTGTTCAACCAGAGTGGGTAAATACCCAGAAAGTGACGATTCACACCACACCAGACTTTAGAGAGACGCAGCAGGGCACACATGGTGGGGCTGCCAGAGGCTGGAAGCAGTTCTGGGGTGCATCGAGGTACAGACCTTGCAAAACACCAGATCCCCGTCCAGATGGCCCGCCCGCCTAATGAGCTCCTTTGACAGAATGGCTCCTGAGAAGCAAGCAGGGTCAGCTGCCCGCTGCCCCCCTGCCACCCATCCGCCTCTGTGGGTGGATGGTGAAGGCCACCGGAGAGGGTCTTAATCACAATGTGTCTGCTCACACTGCAGGTGCTCACGGGTCTCCCAGATGTTCTGTGTGCCCCCACCCCAAAAGAGCCTCTAGTCCACTGTCCCAAAAGATCTCAGTTGGAATAGGTCAGGGCTAGGAGGGGAGCCAGCGACAGGCAGAGGCTGTGGGGAGCCTGGGTTCCCAGACACTCACGGATGCACGCACTTTCAAGTTTGCTCATTGACAGATATTCAGTGTCTTCTAGTCACCCTCATAGAATCATAGAAAACAGTCTCTCTCTCCTAAAAACACTGCCTAAATAACCCGGCTCTATCCTAGACCCCTTAGCAACCCCCTGACCACTAGTCACCTGTCAGTCTTCTGGCAATTTCCCTTTTCTAGCGAACTGCACAATCGGAATCATACATACTGTAGCTGTTTCCGGCATGTCTTTCACTGAGCACCGTACACTTAAGACTTATCTCTGTCGAGGGGGCCGCTTGCTGCAGGCACCCCTATGATGTGCAAGGATGGGGTGGAGAGACAGGCAATGACAGGACATCTGGCAGGAGTCCCAGGGAGGGTCCAGCACTGGTAGGGTGGCAGAAGCCAGAGCCCTGGCACCAGACCAAGGACTCATCGCAATGAACATTTGCAAGTGAAGATGTGTGGACAAGAGAGTATTCTGTGAGACACTACATACAGCTTCTACCACTTGATGCTTTTTGCAGCCAGTCCTAAAGATACCTGATAAACTAGGGTCAGATGAAAGGGGAGGAGGTTCTCCCCTATCAGTGGACTTGGGAAGGGGCAGGGAGGAGATAAGGGAGGGAGGGGAAATGTTTCAAGGGCGGAGAGCTGATACG